TCCGATTGTTCTAAGCGCAATTACCATTATCGATCGACGAAGGGCGAAGTTGAAAAGAATTCCAGAAGGAATGTATTCGAGCGTGGAGAGAGAAAAAAAAATCTCGGTCGCGAAAGAAGTATCCCCGTAGATGTGACGAGGTAGATAGAGCCGTATAAACGTTTTGTTTCCCGAGGAATGAATTGTGCGATCGTGTCGAATAAATTCCCATTTAAACGCGAAAAACGCATTACGCTCGATATAAGACGGCATTAATCCGTGAAAAACGCGATTGTTTCTTTTCACCGATCGACAGGGTAGAATTTATGGGGCAAATCCTTGATAAGCTTTATGTCCTCGATCGTATCGGTGTTTGCCATCGGCCCTCGGTCCAATACAACTTGCCCCTTTCGCGTGAAGGAACCCAACCCCTTCCCCTCTCCTCCCTCGATACAAATAAATATAATGCAGTTACTGGAAATATCATCGGCTCGCTCGAGGAACTCATGGCTCCGCTATTTCGAGGATAAAGATTTATTTCCTCTCCATTCTCCACTTCTCCGGCTTCTTTTCGTCCTTCCTCCTTTATTTCTACATTTCCGTCCGCTTTATCCGATGGTTAGAAACGAGGTTAAAGAATATAAAGGTAGCACGATGACGTACCAAATTTGATAGAAAGTTTGATAGAAACTTGCTACGGAATGAAGCGAAATTTGTGACAATATCGAAACTTGGATGTTACGTCAATTCATTTCTCGATATATTTATTTTTATTTATTTCTGCTAAATCATTTTCGAATCGATATAACCGCTTGGTTGTAAACTTTCTATACGATGTTTATGTATTAGACTCGATACGGCAATATTGAAATTTAAAAATAAAAGTGTAACTTTTAAAGAAAAGTTTTCTTGACGATCGTGACACGCGAATGCTATATAATTTATGAATATTCGATCGAAAGATATTTTTATGCGAAGACAATCCCTAAATTTGCGATGCTAAACAAAATATCCTATCGAAATTCTCTCGCTTTCCAAGCCTCGACCGATATATACATATTTTATATTCTAAAATGTAATAAAAATTTATTAAATGAAACGAGATGCAAGATATCCGGATTCCAATTTTAATCAGAACGTACTCCAATTTATTTCGCGTAATTTTCCTATTTCCATAATTCTCCTGCTGCTCCTCAATACCGAGATTAGCTTCTACATCGCCTTTTAATTAAAATCAGTC